TTTAGGCTTTTAGGCTTTAGGCTTTAGGCTTTTAGGCTTTAGGCTTTTAGGCTTTTAGGCTTTTAGGCTTTAGGCTTTTAGGCTTTTAGGCGAAAATCGTTTTAGGCTTTTATTTTTATATTTGTTGGAGTTCCTAAAAGTCTTTCAGTCTATTCTCTACAGCCGAAAATTTGCTGAAGTTCATCTACATCATTTTCTTTGCGCTAACCTACGTTTGTGGTGTGGGGCAAATCGCAAAGTATTTTGAAATTAGTGATATAAATTAGAACAATAGCTCAGATGTTCCTACAATGTCTATGAAATTTTTACGAGGGTTTTTGGCTATTTAGTCTTTTACGATCCAACTACTATCGCCATGTTTTGTCAGCTGGCTATCTCGTTCAGGTGATTCGGCTTTCAATAATGATAAATATTGATAAAGAACAAAAAGCAAAGTCTTAGGAAGTTATTTTGTACGTTATGTACAGTATGTACAGTACTGTACATAACTGTACTATGTACTATGCAACTCAAACAAACTTAACAAAGTAAACAGTACTAGACAAAAGATTATCACCTCGAGAATTTTTCTTCATCTTTGAAAAGCTATAACTCCAAGCCTTTCTATTGTAGACTAGAAGTGTTATAGTGATTTTGAAAGCTTAAAACAAGCTCTATAAGATGGTGCATTTGCTTTTTAGAAATGCTTTTTAAAATTTCAATTTTTGACTCATTTCAGGGCGCGCAAAATAGGGTTTGATGAAACAACATTTTCAACGCTGTTTTTCTTGTTAATGCCGTGCTCTAATCATCTTAAAACCGTGTTTTTTGGAAAGAACGTGCAAAATTCCCCTAGAAACTTTCAATTTGAGTTATTGTTGGTGTCTCAAAGTTCTAAAAAAGACCCAAAAAAACCCTATTTTGCGCGCCCTGAAATGAGTCAAAAATTGAAATAATTTTAAAAAGCAAATGCACCATCTTATAGAGCTTGTATTAAGCTTTCAAAATCACTATAACACTCCTAGTCTACAATGGAAAGGCTTGGCGTTATAGCTTTTCAAAGATGAAGAAAAATTCTCGAGGTCTAGTACTGTTTACTTTGTTAAGTTTGTTTGAGTTTAAAACTCATTTTAAAGGTTTTAAACAAATTTTGATTGACAAATAAGAAAATCAGTGACTTTTACCACTTCAATGATCAGAAAGAAAGAAGTTTGAATTCGAGTTTAAAGTTTTTAAACTCCAATCAAGCTCGAATCGATCTCAAGCCTGGTTCAAGCCCGATATCAAGCCCGATATCAATCCGATCTCAATTTCAGTCGTTTCTTTGCTCTTTCTTTTGATGGAACCTATTTTCACTACACTCTCCGTTATCCTTTCTTTCAATTACTGATTCCATTCGTTTTATCCATCGCTGTTCAACATTCGGATCTTTTTGTGAGACAATTTCTCGTTGTTGAAATTCGTGAATGGATTCTCGCCTTTTTTATGCTTTTAATGTGCTCTCTCGACTTTGTCACTAATCGAAATATGCGAAAGGTTTGCAATTTAAATTATTCTCTTTTTAGATCACTTCACTAGAGCCCAGATCACTTACCTAGAGCCTAGATCACTTAACTAGAGCCCAGATCACTTAACTAGAGTCCAGATCACTTAACTAGAGCCCAGATCACAGAACTAGAGCCCAGTTCACTTAACCAGAGCCCAGTTCACTTAACTAGAGCCCAGAGCACTTAACTAGAGTTTTATTTAGAGAAAAAGAAGCGGTAAAAGCTCACGAGTCGAATCCCTTCTAATGATTCAGGTTAGTTTAACGTCGTTTCTTTGTCGAATCGATTCTAAAGAGTTTCCAGATTTCAGACTCACAATAGACTTTTAGATGTTAGCCAGTTCATTTCTAAACCTCATGAGAACGATTCTTTACTACATCACTGCCCTTTTATTGAATGCTTTTGCTGGCAAATATGTTATCCTGATTTATTTCACTATTCCAACATTCATCAAATATCTCCTTTTTATTCCAGTAGCTAGGTGATTCCGGGAATAGCGACCCGTGAAGCCATGCTTGCACTGCTTAACTTGTGAGGAAGCCATTTCCCGCATCCGAGCGTCTTTCCAATGGCGTGGAGATCATCAATGGTAGAATTTGGACATAGAAACTGTTGAGCAAGTTCACGCGTCGTTTGACAAGGATCCGGTTCGATTGCAGCCCTCAAAATATCGTTGTCTACCCCTTGAGGTCGACGAGAGTGTTCATCATCCTCGAAAGTGTTCATCATCCTTTCACAACCATTCCGAAAGCGTTGAAATCAGGCTCGGCATCGGCTTTCGGACAATACATTATTCCCAAATGCTTTGACCAAATCTCGATGGGATTCCGCGACTGTTTTGCCCAGTTTGAAGTCGTAAAGTAGGCAGACGCGAACTTGATATATTTGAAGTCGAAAAAGAAGAAGGAAAGCTCTCTAAAGCAAGATCTTAAAAATAAGAAATTATCCGTTTAAGACGATTCAAAATATGCGCAAGATAACGTACTTTTAAATACAGAAAGACTGTTTTAAAAGCCTTTCTCATAACAATAAGTTTAGCAACGATTGTTTATAACCGAGCAACCTAATAGCTAGCTGCTAGCTAGCCAGCTCTGACTGACTGACTCTGACTGCTAACAACCTAATATAATTCTCAAGTTTCAATCATGCTGTTACAAGAGTTAAGAAAGAAATGAATAAAATGCAATCTTCATTGCACCAAACAACAAGTGAGCTCAATTCCGATCACAAATCGACACTTGATCACCCCTTTCAAGTACGTATCTCAATTTTCAGCCGTTTTTTTTCAATTCTTATAATCAAGAGAACAATTGAATCAAAGTTAATCTCGATTCTTCAAAAAAATTTTAGTGATAAGGGGTAGAAGTGAGAGGAAATCTTTTAAAAGCGCAAATCTTTTAAAAAAGGCGCACTATAGTCATGTTGCCGCACTATAGTCTGAACTCTAGCCTGGCCTGGACCCTAGCCTTTCAATCCCAAGATTGCTTCAAGAGGCTACTGTACGTGACCTACTATATATCTACTAAGCGTGTAACCTTTAAGATTCATTTAAAGTTACTCTTTCGAGAAAATGCAACTCACGTCCACTGATACAAAAAGCAGGAAGAGCTAAATTTCAAAATTCATTCCAAAAACAAACAAAAAGCAACATACGTCCTGGACAGGCTAAAAATTTCAAATTTCTTTTTAATTCTAAAAATCGCAAACTTCCATCAGCTGAAATACAGAAGATAATTGCAGAAAATAAGAAAAATTTCGGAGTTTTTTTCCAATCGGAGAAATTTGCTCTTTTAAAAGATCGGGTTTTTCAATTCTACCCCTTATCACTAAAATTTTTTTGAAGAATCGGGATTAACGTTGATTCAATTGTTCTCCTGATTATAAGAATTGAAAAAAACGGCTTGAAAGGGCGATTTTTTTTGAAAGGGAAATTTTTCTTATTTTCTGCAATTATCGTCTATATCTCAGCTGATGGAAGTTTGGATTTTTAAGAATTAAAAAGAAATTCGAAATTTTTAGCCTGTTCAGGACGTATTCTTGACAAAACAAGTTTGGCTTCATATTTTATTTAGCTTTAACCGTAACAAAACATTAACAAACAGTAAAAGAACTAATCCAAGAGATCAACAATTGATGTATCACTTTCGTTACCAATATCTTTTTCCAATTCGAGAGGACCCCACTATTTTTTCAACCCCCCTCCAGACGACCCCACTATTAGAGAGGACCCCACTAATAGAGTAAATACGGTATTAGCTTTTTTGTAAAAATACCTTTTTGAGCCAATATCCTTGGCTGTCCGGTGAATCACTGTGATGGACAAGACGGGAATTGCTATTGTACGGATTGCGATTTGAAGTGTGGAGCGTGTAAAAGTGGTTGCACGGTAAGATTAGTGAGAGGAAACTAACATTGGAAATGTTATTTTTTGCTTATTTATCCGTCCTAGGCTTTTTTAGGTTAACGTTGATTTACAATTGCTAATTAAAATATTGTTTTTTATCAAAGCAAACCTCAACAAAGAAAATACGGTACTAGACATGTCCATTTTCGAGTTTTGGCGGGTCGGGTCGGGTGAGCGGGTCGGGTGAGCGGGTCGGGTGAGCGGGTCGGGTGCGGGTCGGGTGAGCGGGTCGGGTGAGCGGGTCGGGTGAGCGGGTCGGGTGAGCGGGTCAGGTGAGCGGGTCGGGTGAGCGGGTCGGGTGAGCGGGTCGGGTGAGCGGGTCGGGTGAGCGGGTCGGGTGAGCGGGTCGGGTGAGCGGGTCGGGTGAGCGGGTCGGGTGAGCGGGTCGGGTGAGCGGGTCGGGTGAGCGGGTCGGGTGAGCGGGTCGGGTGAGCGGGTCGGGTGAGCGGGTCGGGTGAGCGGGTCGGGTGAGCGGGTCGGGTGAGCGGGTCGGGTGAGCGGGTCGGGTGAGCGGGTCGGGTGGCGGGTCGGGTGAGCGGGTCGGGTGAGCGGGTCGAGGTGAGCGGGTCGGGTGAGCGGGTCGGGTGAGCGGGTCGGGTGAGCGGGTCGGGTGAGCGGGTCGGGTGAGCGGGTCGGGTGAGCGGGTCGGGTGAGCGGGTCGGGTGAGCGGGTCGGGTGAGCGGGTCGGGTGAGCGGGTCGGGTGAGCGGGTCGGGTGAGCGGGTCGGGTCAAGCTAAAAATTTTTGCCGGATCGGGTCAACAGGTCAGCAGGTCACCCGGGAAAAAAGCTGGGTCGCGGGGCGGATCAGCAGGTCACTTTTGACCCGACCCCATGCCCATATCTATACGAGACATCAGTTCTATTCATTTCCTGTGATTCATTCAATTTTTGTCAAACTTTCACGATTTTCACCTCTTTTCACTTGCCTTCGTGTTCTTTTTGGCGTTAAACAGTAACAGTAACAAGCGTAACAGTAACAAGCGTTTAACAAGTTTTTTTTAAAATGAAAATGAGCTTTATTTTCTTTCTATGTACATGAAAATCCGTTCGTTAAAGATTACAAAAATCAGCAAAGACTGCAGCTCTTTGCACAGTATTTCTTTTTGTCGCTATCTGTGTACTGTGGGTTGTTGCAGAAACCGTTTGACACCCACGTTGGACAGCTGAAATTTGGAAATTTGTCACCAGTAAAATCATCACTCTTTCTATTGAAATAATACTTGAAATTTAGCTCTTTAAGCGCTCAGATATTCAGCCAATCGTTTAGTTCAGAAAGTGAATCAGAAGCTAAAGCTTTAGAATCTAGAATTCACTTTAGAATCTAAGAATCTTTGTAATAATATTTTATTTAATTTCAAAGAATTTTTCGTATCAAGTAGACTTGTAACCTTTAGTATCAAGTAGACTTGTAAAACATCGGTCGGCTCTTTTTCCCGCTAGCAATTCAAGGTTTTTCATGTTTTTCTTAGCACCACTCCTTCTCTTTTGTCTATTTTGACTATCATTCGATGTAGAATGAAATTTCGCGTCGAATGATACCAAAATCAACTCAATATATAATATCCACGTAAAGTTGTTGGTTAAAAACCTAAATCTCGCCCATTATGGGCGGGTTTTCACCTTTTGCCTCAGATTTGTTCTAGATTTGTTCTAGATTTGTAAAAAAAGCATCTCTCTATTGTTTTCTATGTATTTTGAGCGCAAATCTTGCAAACATGCCCTTTCCGGCAAAGGATTCAATGCGCCGGAAAGCGTGTGCTAACGGAGCCAGACAACGGTGCCCCACAACATTTGACTCGACTATTTTACAACATTTGACTCGACTTCATTCGATGAAGAATGAAATTTCACGTCGAATGATACCAAAATCAACTTAAAATATAATATCCAGGCAAAGTTGTTGGCTAAAAACCCTTAGCCTCGCCCAGGCTTAACCTTTTGCCTCATAACTTTACATGGATATTATATTTTAAGTTGATTTTGGTATCATTCGACGCGCAATTTCATTCTGCATCAAATGATCGTCAAATAGAACTGTCAATCCTTTTTTGCCGTTGGCAATTGGAGGTTTTTCGTGTTTTTCTCAACGCCAATCCTTCGCTTTTGACTATTTTCACTATCATTCGACGCGCAATTTCATTCTGCATCGAATGATACCAAAATTGAGCTGATTGGATAGTGAAAATAGTCAAAATCGATGGATTGATGCTGAGAAAAACACCGAATCCCACCTTGTCGACGCGTCAACACAATTGGTCGCTCCTGTAGCCGCTCCTCCGCACATGTTGCAGCTGCTTGCACAATATTGTTTCTTCTGATCATCGGTGTACGCTGGATTTGTGCAGAAACCGTTTGAAACCCACGTTGGGCAACTAAATTTTTCGTCTAAGTCTAAGCTGCAAGGTAATAACTCCGAAGATCGTTAAGATTAAAGTTGACGATCAAGTTTAAGGCCAAGTTTAAGACCAACTTTGCATTAGCATCTTTGCATCCATCGCACAGATTGCAACTCTTCGCACAGAACTGTTTCTTTTGGTCATCTGTGTAGCCAGGACTCGTGCAAAAGCCGTTTGCCACCCAAGTCGGGCAACTAAATGCTTTTTCAAAATCGAATTTTATAGTATAGTAGAGAATTTAAGCTGCTGGGAGATTTAGGTCACGTTTTAGCTCTTTTAATTCTTGAGATACACTCTAAAACAGAAACACATCCACAAACAATTAGCATTGACTTTAGTGCAATTATCATTGCTAGAAAAGATGCGTCAAATCAAAAGAAACCCACTTTTTTGGGTCATTATCGACACAAGGGCCAGCGGCTGTGGTTACAGCTCCAGTTGTCACAGGAGCCGTTGTTGTAACAGCCGCATCTGCAGAAACGGTTGAACCAGTGTCCGCCACGGTCGTTTCGCTTGTGCTCGTGGAATCTGGTACCACTTAATTACATTTATCAACAAAGAATCTTGCTGTGTAGTCAAAGAAGCTAAGGTTTCAAGCTAAGCTAAGGTGTTGGCTTTCAATTTTCATGTTTATGCATCCCTAAACGCTTTCTAAGACTTTCAAAAATGACTGCATTCACATTTTTTGTCTATCTACTTATTTCTGAGGGTTTATGGCAAAAACACGACTGATAAAAAGCAAGTAAATTGAAATTAGTGACAGGTTTAGGGTTATCAAAAGAAACGATTGTCAAAAGTGTCAAGGTTTAGTAAATGGAACACGTTAAACTCGAGTCTAATTCTTACAATAGTGGCCTTAAGATACTGGGAATGTTTCTAGAACCGATTTTTCGCCCGCTCGATCACTTGAACCAGTCAGAAAGCTTCAGGGTCACCGTCAGGATCAGGATCTTGACGTTGACCCTTGTGCTGGTCCTGGACCTTGTGCTGACTCTGGACCTTGTGCTGGTCCTGGACCTTGTGCTGGTCCTGAACCTTGTGCTGGCTCTGGACCTTGTGCTGGTCCTGGACCTTGTGCTGACTCTGGACCTTGTGCTGGCTCTGGACCTTGTGCTAGCCCTAAACCTTGTGCTGGCTCTGGACCTTGTGCTGGCTCTGGACCTTGTGCTGGTCCTGGGCCTTGTGCTTGCCCTGGATCTGGTGCTTGCTCTGGACCTTGTGCTTGCCCTGGATCTTGTGCTTGCTCTGGACCTTGTGCTGGCCTTGGATTGACCTTAGCCTGACCAGAAAGCTGATCGCAGAAATCAGATTCGACTTACAGGTCTCAGAGCCATTCTTGGATCCGAATCACTATATTCTTGGATGTTTCAAACCGATTTTCTCCTGAGAAACCTGGTCAGTCACTTGAACCAGTCAGAAAGCTGATTGCAGAAATCAGCTTTGACTTACAGGTCTGAAAGCCAGCCAGATCAAAGTCCGTTCAGAAGTCAAGCTTGGCTTCTGGCTGACTTACAGGTCAGAAGGCCAGGTTAAAGTTCGTTCAGAAGTCAAGCTTGGCTTCTGGCTGACTTACAGGTCAGAAGGCCAGGTTAAAGTTCGTTCAGAAGTCAAGCTTGGCTTCTGGCTGGCCTTGAGCAGATCCAGGCTCTCAGAACCATCCCTGGATCTATCTTGATCTGACTCTATCTCGATTTCAACTTTTCTCATTACCGAAAAAACATTTCAACGAACTCACGAGCTCCTGCAACAACAAGGAAGCATGCCAGCAGAAATAGGCTTTTCATTTTGCGAATAATAGCTTCAAAAGGACAGCCGAAGGAAAGTGACGCTCGAAATTATCATTTAAAAGCTTTTATACGAAACGGGGATCAAGAAAATTTAAGCTCATTTCACACCCATTTTTCTCTTTCAGCTTAAGCTTTTAAGCGTTATCAGGGAAAAGGGTTTTCACTGAGAAGAACAATGCTTTTCTATCAGCTTTTGCATTTCTCAAATGGATTACCTTTTGGTTTTTTTTAAGTTTTGAGAATTAACCCTTTTAAACAAAGGAACAGGGTTGAGTCTGAAATTTTTTGAGTCTTTTTTCTTTTTTGCGAACGGGGTTTATGACGTAGAACAAAAGGGATTTGTGGAGGGTAGAGCGGGTGGATTAGAGGGTGGAAAGGTGGAGTGATAAACAAAAAAAAGTGAATGGATTTGGTTCACCGGATGGAACTGTAGCTTGGGAAAATGAACTTGAGACTTGAATTGAGATTCTTTATGAATTGATTGAATAAGAATGAATAAGATTAGATTCTTTATGAAAAGCTTTCTAAAATGTGTACTAAAAATGGCTTAAAAATGGCAAAACTGAAATGCATAAATGAGCAGAGTGCCAAGGGACACTCGTCTAACTTTGGAAGGTCATATAAAAAAGTTGAAAGGTTGAATTGATTAGAGAATGTGCACATGAGCTTGAGCTTCCTTCTTGAGCTTGAGCTTGATTAGAGAATGGGCACAGGAGCTTCCTTCTAGTATTAAATGTGGTCACTTGGTGTGTCACAAGGAAACGAGCTTAGCAAAAACAGCGGTGAAAGAAGACCTTGTTGAGCTTGACTCTCGTCTGACTCTGTGAAGAGTCTTGAGAGGTGTAGCATAAGTGGAAGCTTCGGCAACGGTGAAATACTACTTTCACTGATTCCTTACTTACTCGGTGACAAGGGAGCTTGAGTTTACTCTTCCTTGTGGTGTGTGGTCACTTGGTGATTGCGCGACTCGCGCCAAAGAGAACGAAGCCAGGAGTTTAGCTGTCAACTCGTAATGTAACGTGACGTAACGTGTACATCTGCACAGTGTAAGGAGACATTTTGTTGAGAGAGGTAAGCAAATTTGTGGAGAAGGCGGCGGACGCAAACTCAAGAATCGAGATTTCGACAAGAAATCAAGATTCACTTTCCCAAGCCCAACAGGACGCCAACAACAATTGAAGAACCAATTGAATTGAAGAATTGAATTGAAAAATTGAATTGAACGCCAACAACAATTGAATAGCATTGAAGAAATTTTGGTTCATTAACATAATAAATTCAATCTCAACAAGATCGCTCTCAAAAATCCCATCAATGAGTGGCGTGCCGAGCGACACTCGGCTCTCAACTTTGGAAGGTTATATAAAAAAGTTGAAAGGTTGAATCGATTAGATAATGGGCATAGGGTAAGGAGAAATACTTGAGATTTATCTCCAGAAAAATCAGAACGATTGACTCGATTTTGGCCAATCTAGACCCTCTGAAGTGTGGCGCTATTTAAAGTAAATTCTGTTCTTAATTCTGTTCTCAATTCTGTTCTTAACTCTGTTCTTAACTCTGTTCTTAATTCTGTTCTTAATTCTGTTCTCAATTCTGCTTTCTGTCCTCTCTAAGCCAGCCTTAGGACACCTGCTTTACGAGTTGACAGATGTACAGGTTACGTTACGTTACGAATTGACAGCCAAACTCCTGGCCAAACAGACGGGAGTCGCGCAATCACCAAGTGACCACATTTAACCAAGTGACCACACACCACAAGGAAGAGTAAACTCAAGCTCCCGTGTCATCAAGTAAGTAAGGAATCAGTGAAAGTAGTATTCCATTGCCGAAGTAGTATTTCACCGTGCTTCCACTTATACTACACCTCTCAAGACTCTTCACAGAGTCAGACGAGAGTCAAGCTCAACAAGTTCTTCTTTCCCCCGCTATTTTTGCTAAGCCCATTCCCTTGGCTGTGGTTTCGCTAGATAGTAGATAACAATCTCGTTAATGGAATCTCGTTAATCCATTCATGTTAGTTAAGAAGGATGAGAATGATTTAATCAAGAACAACAGCTATCAAATCAAGCAAGCAATTTAGAATTAAGCACTCTCGTTCTCTATAATTCTTTTTGATTTTGATAGCTTAAACTTTAAACTTTAAACTTTAAAAACACGCAAGTTTTCCAGTTTATGGGTTTTTGAATGAGCAGATTGTATAATTTGCAATTGATCAAAGATGCAAAGAGCAAAGCAATTCCTGTGTTTGCTTTTTTTTAAAATTTTATTAAACTTCATCCAAAGCACATCTTATTTCAGCACAGATTACAACTTTTCGCACAATATTGTTTCTTTTGTTCTGGCGTGTATTTGGGATCGGTGCAGAAGCCGTTTGAAACCCAAGTTGGGCAACTAAAATGATGAAAGATCATAAAGATATGGAGATAATCTCAATTTTAAAATATTAATCTAAGCTACCTGGCTGAGCTGTCTTTACACGTTCCTGGTGTGGTTGCTGGTGTGGTTGCAGCGCCTGAAACGAGTCAGAATTCGCTTACTAGTTAGGTGCAGCAGATAAAGAAGGTTCCAGCCTGGCTCTAGGATCTGTAAGCTAGAGCGAGCGAAAGTCTGGCCAAAGTCTGGCCAAAGTCTAGCCAAAGTCCAGTCAAAGTCTGGCCAAAGTCCAGTCAAAGTCTGACCAAAATCTGAGTCCAATTTTGATTTCTGGCGATTTGCTGTGGGCGATAGATCCAAGATCTTCAAAGACAACTTCTGGCCTTGTCTTGAGCTGAGCTTGAGCTGAGCTTGGGCTCCTGGCTTGAGAAAATACTTTTGGAACAACCCTGAATCTGCCCAGGGCTAGCCAGAAACCAAGTCTGACTCCCGATCGGACTCTGACTTAACTTTTAGAGCCTAGAGCTTGGCTGAAATCTTCCTACACATCAACCTATTGCTCTAACACTTACCAGCTGAACACAACGAGCAACTCAGCGCACAATACTGTTTCTTTTGATCGACTGTGTATGAGGGATTCTCACAGAAACCGCCCTTCACCCAATCGTCACATCTAAGTAAATCTAGTAGCTAAGAAATCATTCTACGAGACAATTTCTGTTCTGTTCAAGCTCTGTTCAAGTAGTGATCTTGGAATGCAGGAATTCGAACACTAAGTGTCACCTAGTACAGAAAGTTGACGGTAAACATCTTTAGCTTAATCTTTAAAACTTCCTATTCATCTTTCCTCATCTCAAAAACCAACTGTGCCGAATTATCATTGCAATTGCAGAGTCCACAACTCTTCGCACAATAATCTTTCTTTTGTTTATCCGTGTAGCTCGGATTTGCGCAGAAACCCGATGGAACCCATTGGGCACAACTGAAAACGTTCTTTGTTCATTCTTTGTCAAAGTTGACAACAATTGTAGAGTAACTCACTTGGCAGACGCATCTTTGCAATCTAAACTCCATTGTTAAAATTCTGTTCTTATCTAAAACCTGGATTGACTGGAGTTGTTGGTGCCGGGGTTGTCGGTGGAATGGTTATTGGTTTCATGGTTGTCTACAATCAAAAAATCAAAATTTAGCTTGTTGAGGTTTGCATTGATAAAAAACGAGATTTTAATTAGTAAATAAATCAACAATTGTAAATCAACGTTAACCTAATTTACTGTGTAATCAATTTTCAGTGAGCCTCATTGAAAATCATTATGTTATTAATTATTCTTGGCAACCAAATCAACGCCTAGTATGGGCCGCTTCACTGTAAAGATTGGGTTTAGCTTGTTGAGGTTTGCTTTGATAAAAAACAAGATTTTAATCAACAATTGTAAATCAACGTTAACCTAAAAAAAAGCCTAGGACGGATAAATAAGCAAAAATAACATTTCCAATGTGAGTTTCCTCTCACTAATCTTACCGTGCAATCACTTTTACACGCTCCACACGTCAAATCGCAATCCGAACAATAGCAATTCCCGTCTTGTCCATCACAGAGATTCACCGGACAGCCAAGGATATTTGCTCAAAAAGGTATTTTTACAAAAAAGCTAATACCGTATTTACTCTATTAGTGGGGTCCTCTCTAATAGTGGGGTCGTCTGGAAGGGGATTGAAAAAATAGTGGGGTCCTCTCTAATATTGGTAACGAAAGTGATACATCAATTGTTGATCTCTTGGATTAGTTCTTTTACTGTTTGTTAATGTTTTGTTACGGTTAAAGCTAAATAAAATATGAAGCCAAACTTGTTTTGTCAAGAATTTCGGAGAAAAATTGTTATCTTTTCAATTTAAAACTTTGGTTTTATGTTCTTTTAAATTTCTCTAATAGTGGGGTCCTCTCTAATAGTGGGGTCGTCTGGAAGGGGATTGAAAAAATAGTGGGGGACCCCACTAATAGAGTAAATACGGTATGTCTAATAGCTAAAGGTACAGCTAAACGAGGAATTGTAGAAATTCAAAAATGTTGGCTGTGTTGGCTAAGTCGAAGGCTCGTTGAAACCAGGTGTTCTAAAAAGCCAGAAAACCAAGACTAGACAAAGATCAGAGCAGGAACTTGATCTGGATAGGTTTTGTCTACTCCTGGCCTAGATCTTGGTCTGATCTGGATCCTTGGATCCTGGCCTGGTCTGACCTCTGACTATGGGCTAAACCCTGGCTTAGTCTGGGTTTAGCTCATAGTCAGAGGATTAGCTTACATCTAAGTTAAAAGTCTCTGGCACCGTCTCCTTGTGATCAAGAAATATACGGAACCTATTAAAAAGCTTACTAAGAGCTTGTTTATCAACAAATTGAATAGAGATAAGTTAAATCTAAGTTAAAAGTCTCCAGCAAAAAGGACAAATTCAAAGAGAGTCATATTTCTGGCTGGCTGGCTTTCTAGCTATCTGCTGACTGGCTTTCTGACTGGCTACAATATCTGGCTGCTTTAAATAGCTCTTAGTCGATCGTTTTAGCGGACAGAAAGTCGCAAAACGTCATTTTTAACTTAAAAAGGCATCAAGTCTTCGCAGAGCTGATGAATCGATTTTTTTGGTATTAAAATGATCTTTATGCACGTCCACACAAAATTCGGGGTCTGCCGCACTAGTTGGGAAGGAGAAGGGCTCTCTTTCCCTTCCCAACGAGGAAGAGGAAGAAAGGGGAAGGGGAAGAACTCCCTTCCCCTTCGTTTTTGGGTGGGTATATTGCCGCACTATAGTCTGGACTATACTGCGGCACTACCTAAGCCTAAGCCTAAGCCTAAGCCTGAGCCTGAGCCTAATTGCAAGGATACTTCCCTTGGGTTCCAAAGCAAAAAGGACAATCGCTTGCACATTAGCTCCGAGAACTGGCTGAGATCCAGAAAATGGGGGTTCAGCCTAAACCCAAATAGCGTTAGTACGAGGCGCTAGCCGTTAGCCTTCGCACTAAGTCCAAGCCTAAGTCTAAGCCTAAGCCTAAGCCTAAGCCTGCCCTGGACCTTAGCCTTTCAATTTCAAGATTAACTTGCTTTAAGAAACTACTGCACATCATACTAAACATGTAAACTTTAAGTCATAAGTTTTAGTGTCATTTAAATGACAATAAAACTTGAAAGTTACTCTTTGTGTCATCTAAATGACATTTAATGACATCTAAATGACTTTAGTGTCATCTAAATAACACTAAAACTTGAAAGTTACTCTTTGAAAGTGACTCTTTCAATAAAATGCAACTCACGTCCACTGATACAAAAAGCAGGAAGAGCTAAATTTCAAAATTCATTCCAAAAACAAACAAAAAGCAACATACGTCCTGGACAGGCTAAAAATTTCAAATTTCTTTTTAATTCTAAAAATCGCAAACTTCCATCAGCTGAAATACAGACGATAATTGCAGAAAATAAGAAAAATTTCGCAAATCCTTTCATTTTTTGAAGAATTTCCCGTTCCAATCGGAGAAATTTGCTCTTTTAAAAGATCGGGTTTTTCAATTCTACCCCTTATCACTAAAATTTTTTTGAAGAATCGGGATTAACGTTGATTCAATTGTTCTCCTGATTATAAGAATTGAAAAAAACGGCTTGAAAGGGCGATCAAGTGACGATTTGGTGAGAATTGAGCTCACTTGTTGTTTGGTGCAATGAAGATTGCATTTTATTCATTTCTTTCTTAACTCTTGTAACAGCATGATTGAAACTTGAGAATTATATTAGGTTCTTAGCAGTCAGAGTCAGTCAGTCAGAGCTGGCTAGCTAGCAGCTAGCTATTAGGTTGTTCGGTTATAAACAATCGTTGTTAAACTTATTGTTATGAGAAAGGCTTTTAAAACAGTCTTTCTGTATTTAAAAGTACGTTATCTTGCGCATATTTTGAATCGTCTTAAACGGATAATTTCTTATTTTTAAGATCTTGCTTTAGAGAGCTTTCCTTCTTCTTTTTCGACTTCAAATATATCAAGTTCGCGTCTGCCTACTTTACGACTTCAAACTGGGCAAAACAGTCGCGGAATCCCATCGAGATTTGGTCAAAGCATTTGGGAATAATGTATTGGCCGAAAGCCGATGCCGAGCCTGATTTCAACGCTTTCGGAATGGTTGTGAAAGGATGATGAACACTTTCGAGGATGATGAACACTCTCGTCGACCTCAAGGGGTAGACAACGATATTTTGAGGGCTGCAATCGAACCGGATCCTTGTCAAACGACGCGTGAACTTGCTCAACAGTTTCTATGTCCAAATTCTACCATTGATGATCTCCACGCCATTGGAAAGACGCTCAGATGCGGGAAATGGCTTCCTCGAAGAAATTTGCTCTTTTAAAAGATCGGGTTTTTCAATTCTACCCCTTATCACTAAAATTTTTTTGAAGAATCGGGATTAACGTTGATTCAATTGTTCTCCTGATTATAAGAATTGAAAAAAACGGCTTGAAAGGGCGATCAAGTGACGATTTGGTGAGAATTGAGCTCACTTGTTGTTTGGTGCAATGAAGATTGCATTTTATTCATTTCTTTCTTAACTCTTGTAACAGCATGATTAAAACTTGAGAATTATACGTTTCTAAAACGTGTTTTTCAAAAGCTACAATAATCAAGCTCTAGTTTTGAAAGTTTTGAAAAGCCCAAAAGTCTCTCCCAAAAGTTCTGGCACAACTTTTTGTAAAAGCAGCTAGCAAATGTCTATCATTTTAAAGTGCTAAGTTTTATATAGGGATTTAAAGCCCAGAATCTTGGCTACATTTATATATGAAAAGCTTTCGAATCGGAGTCACACAACTCATTTGAGAAGCTTTTGAGTGAGCACTACTCTTGGCTTGCTGCCATTTTGCTGTTTTAAGGGTGAAAGGGTGATCAAGTGACGATTTATCGGGGTATTCGGGGTATTGAGTATTCGCCCGATCCCTCCCCCATTCATCACAATCACACGATCGCAAAACTTTGCATAGTGAAGTCCTGAAAAGCACAACATTTTCCAGCAGTAAGAGTTCAAAAACCTTTTTGTAAAAGTTGAACAAGAATAACACAAAATTATTTTAAGAAGCCTTTCGAAACGAAAAGTGTCTTCATTTTAATCATCAGTCTTTATGGACAAAAGTATCTCAATGCCAGACGCTTTTATTTAGCTTCTAGTGACCCTAATTCTTCTTATAATCAATCGATTCGGTTAAAAATTAGAATATAAGTGTAAAAATGTTATAAAAATGAAATGATAACAAAATTCTTTATGAAATCTGACACATTTTTGACTTGACTTTGACTTAATTTGCCTTCATCTAAGCCTAGCCTTCATCTAAGCCTTCATCTAAGCCTAGCCTTCATCTAAGCCTTCATCTAAGCCTTCATCTAAGCCTTCATCTAAGCCTTCATCTAAGCCTTCATCTAAGCCTTCATCTAAGCCTTCATCTAAGCCTTCATCTAAGCCTTCATCTAAGCCTTCATCTAAGCCTTCATCTAAGCCTTCATCTAAGCCTAACCTTCATCTAAGCCTAACCTTCATCTAAGCCTTCATCTAAGCCTAACCTTCATCTAAGCCTAACCTTCATCTAAGCCTTCATCTAAGCCATCTAAGCCATTATGAGCCAGCCTTTATAGGCCTAGTATCATATTAAATCTAGAGCAAAGTAAATTATAGTTAGTTTTAATGTCAGCCCACTAGTAAAAAACGGCTAGGCAAAATGCCAGCAGTGTGCCAGGCCAGGCTTGGCTTGGCACTGGCTTGGCACTGGCTTGGCACTGGCTTGGCACTGGCTTGGCACTGGCTTGGCACTGGCTTGGCACTGGCTTGGCACTGGCTTGGCACTGGCTTGGCACTGGCTTGGCACTGGCTTGGCACTGGCTTGGCACTGGCTTGGCACTGGCTTGGCACTGGCTTGGCACTGGCTTGGCACTGGCTTCTGAGAGATTCAGTACTGGCTACCAATGAACTTTTTATATATCAAACTTATATCAAGCCTGCAGCAGAGCCAAGCCAGGACCTGACCTTTTGAGCCAGATCGGTTGGCTATAAGAAAAATTAGGGTCATTAGAAGCTCCTGAAGTCAAAGCGTCTTGCAGCCATCACACTTTACATGTTTTGTGAAGTACTTACCTTGGGTTGATCTCGACGACTGACTACCAGGCTCGACTCACAAAGGAATCCGTGCTAATCAGAAGTCATGTCTGCCTTTTGTCCAGCTTTGTCCAGCTAGTCTGCGGCTTCAGGATCAGGCTGAAACGTTTTTTGTAGGGAAAGGCACCAGGTCAAGGTGGCCTTTTAATACGAGAGCCACACAGAATCGGCTGATTCTAAGGATGCTTTTACTTTTTCCAGAGGAGCTCTGCTATCTGGCATCAAAGTTTAGACAGATTTTCGGAGTTCTAAGCTTTTTTTCTCTTGATTAGTAAGAGAGCTAGTGGAGTGGATAGTTTGCTCTAGTTTGCTCTAGTTTGCTCTAGAAATTTTTGTCTGAGTTTGAGTTCTCTGTATTCTTCTTGTTTTTTTAAGAAAATCATTAGAAAATGGCATCAGAGTTGGTTTATTTTGACGCTAATTAATGGAAAAATGATTAGAAATGATTAGAAATGATTTTAAGAACAGAAATGTGAACATTGTTCACGGCTTGAAAGACAAAATTTGATAAGGACTTGGAAAATCTGCCTAAACTTTGATGCCAGTTATCTCGCGTTACAGAGCTCCTTTGGAAAAAGGGAAAGCATATTCAGAATCAGCATAGCCGATTTTATAAAGCGGCTCTCGGATTATCTCGTATTCGTGCGACTCTCGTAAGGTCACCTGGTGCTTTTCCCTAGTTAGATATATTCTTGGATATACATATTAGATATTAGATAGATGTATATTAGATAATATTATAGAATAGACTATAAACATATATGATCTGATCTAGAAATATGATGATTGGTCCAGCCAGAAGGCCTGATGCTTTGGCTGGTCTAGCCAGAAAGCCTGATGCTTTGACTGGTCCAACCAGAAGGCCTGATGCTTTGGCTGGTCCAGACAGAAGGCCTGATACTTTGGCTGGTCCAACCAGAAGGCCTGTTGCTTTGGCTGGTCTAGCCAGAAAGCCTGATGCTTTGACTGGTCTAGTCAGCAGGCCTGATACTTTGGCTGGTCTAGCTAGAAAGCCTGATACTTTGACTGATCCAACCACAAGGCCTGACAGACTGGCTTAGTGACTCGGATAGAACATTCATGAATACCATACTCCGACGCACTAAATAATTGTATATTCGAATATGTTTTGCCTTTTAAAACTAATCAGCTTTATTCTAAGCATTTAAAAACAATAAAAAAACTTATAAATATCACACAAATCGGTGAGGTTTTCAAAGCATTTACATCAGAGTGTGGCTCAAGAAAAGTGATGATTGGAAGAGAAAACAAATGGGGCAGTTATTTTTGGTTAAACTAGCCTTAAAACTAAACCCAAAACAATAAAAAAATAAGAAGAAATAGAATCAGAAGAAATAGAATCAGAAAAAAAACAAAGCTAACACTTTAACACTTCTAAAAAAGCATTTTTAAGTAGTAAACAGAGATTTGAGAGTCTCTAGCTCTAGCAAATGTGCTCTAGCAAATGCAATGAGAGAATCGATGAGATTAAAGGGAAATAAATAGTGGAGATGAAAATAAACAAGATGAAAATGAGCACGGGATGGAGAAGGCAAAAAAAATGGGGAAAAGGATCGTTTTATATGAAGATATTCCGTGAATCGACCCATCCAATGACCAAGCTTTTTTGGGTGATTCGATCAGTCCTCCAAAATCGCCACTTCTGACTCGGCTCTGAAAAGGGATAAAATGGACACAGAATGGCCACAAAATGGCTACAAATGGCTACAAAATAGCCACAGAATGGCCACAAAATAGCCACAAAATCGCCACAAAATCGCCACAAAATTAGGATATTCAGCCTTGTCAGCAAAAATGTTTTAAATTTGTTTTTAAATCAAAACGGTGAGGTCCGGTTTTACTCACTAGAGAATGGTCAACTGACTTCCAAGTTTCTTCAAATTCCAAACCACATAAGCCATTCCACGCTGAATTTCACGCTGATTCCGAATCTGGTTTCCCTTTTTTCTACGAAACATTCTGTCAAAAGTTATACGCGTTTAAAGTTTTGTAAGGAGTTTCTAAAGTAGTCAAACCGCGAGATTACAAGCTACCGGACCAGCGACCGGACTCGAACCAGCGACCGGACTTGAACCAGCTACCGGACGCGAGATTACAAGCCTGTCTTAGACCAGCGGTTGCAGAGGTGGCCGAGTGTGAGTTAGGATCAGTAATTAGGATTAATTAATTAGGACGCAAGGCGAGTGGTTCAAGTCCGGTAGCTGGCTCGAGTCCGGTAGCTGGCTCAAGTCCGGTAGCTGGCTCGAGTCCGGTAGCTGGCTCGAGTCCGGTAGCTGGCTCGAGTCCGGTAGCTGGCTCGAGTCCGGTAGCTGGCTCAAGTCCGGTAGCTGGCTCGAGTCCGGTAGCTGGCTCGAGTCCGGTAGCTGGCTCGAGTCCGGTAGCTGGCTCGAGTCCGGTAGCTGGCTCGAGTCCGGTAGCTGGCTCGAGTCCGGTAGCTGGCTCAAGTCCGGTAGCTGGCTCGAGTCCGGTAGCTGGCTCAAGTCCGGTAGCTGGCTCGAGTCCGGTAGCTGGCTCAAGTCCGGTAGCTGGCTCGAGTCCGGTAGCTGGCTCAAGTCCGGTAGCTGGCTCGAGTCCGGTAGCTGGCTCAAGTCCGGTAGCTGGCTCGAGTCCGGTAGCTGGCTCAAGTCCGGTAGCTGGCTCGAGTCCGGTAGCTGGCTCAAGTCCGGTAGCTGGCTCGAGTCCGGTAGCTGGCTCAAGTCCGGTAGCTGGCTCGAGTCCGGTAGCTGGCTCAAGTCCGGTAGCTGGCTCGAGTCCGGTAGCTGGCTCAAGTCCGGTAGCTGGCTCGAGTCCGGTAGCTGGCTCAAGTCCGGTAGCTGGTCCGGTAGCTTGTAATGCCGCGGTTTGACCTTTTTTTTGAAACTCCTTACAGAACTTTAAACGCATCTAACTTTTGACAGATTGTTCGGTAGAAAAAAGGGAAACCAGATTCGGAATCAGCGTGAAATTCGGCGTCGAATGGCTTATGTGATTTGGCCAGCAAATCGAGTTGACCTTTCCTTGTGGGCCTGTAAGCTTATAAACCAGGTCAAAACATGATCCAGAGCTTAGGTTCAGGCTAGGATTGTCCAAAGGTGATTTTATTCAGACTAGGCAAAACTCGGGCAAGAAGCCTTGATCTGTTTGATGGCTGATCTGTTTCACAAAGTCATTGGGTTTTCGAGGAGCCAGACCTACTTCTGGCCTAGGCTCTGGCTGAGCTCTGGCTGAGCCTGGTTTACAGGTCCTGTTAGAGCAATAGACTTATTTTAGACTTTGCAAAGATTCTTTAGAGTCAAACCTTTTCTTCTCATTTTTTTTCCGTCGAATCTCACACAGAAAGATGACCGTGACGAGGCAGCAAAGGATCACAAAGATCACCGCAAGAGGCACAATCCAAGCCAAATCGCCTGAGAATTTGAGATTTTCATTGAAAAGTTGAATTAGTAGTATTTAGTATTAGGTTGATGCAAAAGTCTTTTTCATTTTTTTCGTACTTCTTTTGAAAAATAACAAAGTCATCAATTAACCTATGGTTTGCTCTAAATGAAAAGTGTTTATTGTTGAATTTCCCATCTTTTTAAGTCAATTTGGGTTCACTTTCAAGAAAAATTCGAGAGTGAAAACGGGTTTTTCATAAAAATCTATAAAAACCTCTATAAAGAAATTGGCTGAATCAATTTCTCTGAAAATCTGAAAAAATATCTAACTTTTTGTGCTCTATCTTTTATTTATTAAAATCAAGATTGGTTTCCTTAGCTAAAGCGTCTAAAATGCATCATCGAGCCGTCGCCTTTTTTGACTACCCGACTTCAGGCTCTCAAAAAAATCTAGACATAAGACATTTTAAACTCGTTTTAATGTCATTTTGCAGAAAAATAATTGGCCTTTCGAATGCAATAAACCGTTGTTCAATTGGTGCATTTGTTACTTTTTAACGGAAGTACGAAAAAAATGAAAAGACTTTTGCATCAACCTAATAGGATTTAGTAGAGAAAACTATTAGTTCAATCGATCTCAGCTTTATGCTGAAAGTTAGGTTTAAAGGTTTGGTTTAAAGATTGGGTTTAAAGATTGGAGTTAAAGATTGGATTTAAAGGTTTTGGTTTAAGGATTGGATTTAAAGATTTAAAGATTTAAAGATTTAAAGCTTGTTTCCAGTCTTTTCCCCAATGCAACACTCAAGAAAACTAAAAACCAACGATTTCTAAATTCAGTGCCCCTTTTTCCCAATCCAATGCCCAATCCAATGCCCAATCCAATGCCCAATCCAATACCCAATCCAATACCCAATCCAATGCCCAATCCAATGCCCAATCCAATGCCCAATCCAATGCCCCTTTTACTCACTTTTCAATTTGAGCTCCTTTTTGATGACCAACAAGTATCGATGTTTGCTGAACTCATTCATCGCCTGACACGTGTAAACACCGACATTCTGTTCGCTTGCGTTATTGATCATTATCGTGTTTCCAGAGATGTTCACCCGTCGAGCGTCTGTAAGGGAACTTGTCTTTGTTTTTTGTCTAATTTTTGTCTTATTCAGGTCGAATCAACTCTTAAAGCCCTCTATAATGATATCTTGATATAACGAGAATAATCTCTGGACAGTTAGCTATCAAAGACTTGAGAGAGAGCTGACTGAGCTTGAGAGGGAGCTGAGAGCTGACTGAGCTTGAGAGAGAGAGCTGACTGAGCATGAGAGAGAGCTGACTGAGCATGAGAGAGAGCTGACTGAGCATGAGAGAGAGCTGACTGAGCATGAGAGAGAGCTGACTGAGCTTCAGAGAGAGCTGACTGAGCATGAGAGAGAGCTGACTGAGCTTCAGAGAGAGCTGACTGAGCTTCAGAGAGAGCTGACTGAGCTTCAGAGAGAGCTGACTGAGCTTCAGAGAGAGCTGGGCATTCAGATGAGCTCTTGAATCTGCTCAAGTCGGCCTCTCTCTGGTGATCTGCCACACTTTTCTTAATAACAGCAAACTCTTTTGTGAAATGGGCCAAATTGGGGTTAATTTCTGGATTCATTTGGAAAGTTCACAGAGAAAATTCAGCTTTTTTTGAAGATCCATTTGACAAGAAAATCTTGCTGTATAAGCTCTAGCATTATAATTTTATCGTACTTTTATTGAATGGTACTTTTAAAGTAAAAACTTACAAGTTTAATTGAAGGAAACCCTTTCTAAATGAAAATATTGTATCAAAAAGTATCAAAAATCGCAAATCGCCGGAGAGAGGCCGACTTGAGCTCATTCAAGTGCTTGTAAAATGAGTTATATAATCCGGATCGGGAAGCTCTTTGTAGATAAATGATGTCAAGATGAAGGGCTTTAATTTTCTATATAACACTTGGCACTTTGACAATAAGTCAGACGTTTGCAAGCAACTTTTCCAAATGTCGCGGCCGTCTTGTAGTAGAAAGGCTGACCGAAGTCTTAGCCTTTCAACTACAAGCAAAGATTGGAAGATAAGCAATGAAATGCTTATGAAATGAAATGCTTATCTTCCAATCTTTGCTTGTAATTGAAAGGCTAACGACTTCGGTCAGCCTTTCAACTACAACGTGACCGCGACATTTGGAAAAGTTGCTTGCAAACGTCTGACTTCCAATCTTTGCAAGTTTAAAAGCACTTGAGTTTTAGTTTTAGCTAATAACTAAAGTTTTAGCTAGTAACTAACCAAGTGAATGTCCATCTTTACTCCAAGAAATCGTTGGCACAGGATGTCCTAGAGCCGGACAAGTTATATTTTTTGATTGACCTCGAGACACCTCGACCGGCAAGCTCTGGAATTAGCTCTGGAATTAGCTCTGGAATTAGCTCTAGCTGGAATTAGCTCCAATGAAATGCTATTAGCTCTATGGTCTTCTTTACTCACCTGAAGTTGATAATCTTTCTGACCGTCTTCGGAGTATGAGTCACCTTCTTCCGCTTGGGCTACCGGACGGGCTAAAATTTGCTTATGTTAATGTTAAAATGTTAAATCCTACAATAATCAGATTCTTATTTTTCAACGGAGGTATGAAAAGGAAGGAAAAGACTCTTTGGAAAGCTTAATATATGGAAAATTAATAATCTAGCCGACGGGAAACCTTGACCGCTTCATTAAGTTTCCACAAATTTCAGGCTACAGCTTTGGCTTTTAATTGGTTTTGCTTAACTTTTGGCTTTTGCCAATCCTAATGACAAAAACTCTTTGTCAACCTTGGTTTCTTACTGTAATTCCAGTTTTCCAAAGTCCCTTCCAGAACTCCAAGCTCCAACAGATCTCCAGAACTCCAAGCTCCAACAGATCTCCAACAGATCTCCAGAACTCCAATAGATCTCCAGAACTCCAAGCTCCAACAGATCTCCAACAGATCTCCAGAACTCCAAGCTCCAACAGATCTCCCACAATCAAATCCTATGCCTCGTCGCTCGATATGATGACTTATGATGATTTAAGTTGCTTAAATAACGTAACATCAGTGCTAGTTTTTGACTTTGTGATGCCCTCGAAAGTCTTTAACTAATTAGCCCTCAACTGAAATCAAAAATTGCTTAATTTTAACCTTTGTAAAGGCTTGTGAAGTTTCGTAGTGGTGCCTGCAAATTCGTAAACGTAATAGTAAATGAATAGAATTCATAATGCACACAAGACTTGGTCTTTGGAATGTACTTTGTGCTCAAAAAGTGGAAACACACGCTTTCTCGTTTACTGAATTCACTTATCTCCACTGCAATGCTACTGAATCCGAGAAATGGCAAGACTTTTGACTTTGGGCCTAGGCGCAGATAGTTCGGCTTTTGGTCTAGGTAGTTTTTTGGTCTGCATCTAGTTTTGCACCTAGTTTTGAGCCTTTTCCAGAGCCAAGATCAATCGTTTAGTAGCCTGGCACAGAACAAGAAAGACAAGAAAGACAAGAAAGACAAGAAAGAGAAGAAACGGCTTTGAAGTAGACAATGGGCGCTACAAACTACAAGGTTAGACTACAAACGCTTGTACGCTTGTACAAACGCTGTAGAAACGCGTAGGATGGTTATTTTTACAAACTGTTTTTACCAAAATATCAAGCCAAGTTTAGGCTTTTGATTGGCACTAAGTTCAAGCAAATCGACAATCTCTGCCCCGACTTATAGCGGTTTTTCCGGTTTGTAGTCCTAGTTTATAGTTTGTAGTGGAATAGGACTATAAACCTGGAAAAAACTTATATAATTTAGTGCAGACATTGTCGATTTGCTTGAACTTAGTGCCATTCGAAAGCCTAAACTTGGCTCGATATTTTGGCAAAAATAATTTGTAAAAATAACCATTCTACGCGTTTCTACAGCGTTTGTACAAGCGTACAAGCGTACTAGTCTAATCTTTTAGTTTGTAGCGCCCATTCGCTACTTTAAAGCCGTTTCTTGTCTCTCTTGCCTACAATCCTCAATCCTTCAGCTCTCCAGCTCCTTCGAAAGTCAAAAACCCACCATAAATCTGGGTATTGAATGTGCCGACACCAAACTGTGTCTCCACTCGACACTCCCAAACTCCAGCCTCGAGAATCGTCGGATGATTGATTGTCCATGTCGCATTTCTCTCATTCACCACTCCAATGTGTCGTCGTTCAACACCTCCACGAGTTTCCGATCGTCGCGTGAAATTCGCCTGAATTTGGCTTGAATTTGGTCTGAATTTGGCCTGAATTTGGATTGAATTTGGCTTGAATTGCCTGGACTCCTTTGTATTTTGTAAACAGAATCATTTCGCTCCAGCAATCAGAATCATTTTCTTTTATCTACACTACTGGACAATGAAATATGATATTTGAAAAACGATCGTCACTTTCGCGCGTCTGTAACTCCCTTGTCTTTACCGTATTTCTAAATATTAATATGACCATTGTGTAGCCCTTGAAAAGAGCTTTCAGAAAATGTATAACACTAATAGTTTAAACACAAAGACAACGGAGTTACAGACGATGATATCATTGGACGACGAATCCAATGATATCATTGGACGACGAATCCAATGATATCATCCAATGATATCATTGGATTCGTCAAGTCTTTCTCTATCGATTGGTATAAAAAACATTTAAATTGGACAACCCAAAGCCAAGATATTTGAGCTCGAAGTGCAGCCAATGGCAATCTAACTTTGAGCTCAAATATCTTGGCTTTGGGTTATTCAATTCAAACATATTTGATATCATTGGATTCGTCAAGTCTTTCTCTATCGATTGGTATAAAAAACATTTAAATTGGACAACCCAATGGCAAGATATTTGTGTTCAAAGTTGGATTGCCAATGGTGAAGGGGCGGGGCTCGTATCAAATGCCCGACAATCCAAAAATCGATCCCAGAAATGTTATACATTTCAGAAAATGTTCTAATAGTTTACAAATAGTTTAAACTCAAAGACAAGAGAGTTACAGACGCGCGAAAGTGACGATCGTTTTTCGAATATCATATTTCATTGTCCAGTACTGTACATAGCTAAACTTGGCCAATTTGATGAATTTCTTTGTCGTAAAAGTCGTGTCTAAGTCGTGTCTAAGTCTTGTCTAAGTCGTGTCTAAGTCTAAGTCGTGTCGTGAATTGTCTTTCAGAAATTTGTTTATTTTCAAAATTCAATTTTTGAGCAATTCAATTGGAGCAATCTTTAGCTTGATACTGTCTTTTTGATGCTAATTTCACTAGAGCAAATTTAATTATTTAACGATTTAACGTTGAGATAAATTCGACTAAAAGATGCAAAAATGAAACCGTTCAAAGATACGTTTATGTTTTTAGGATTCGACAAAAACCTTACCGAAAGAATTTTTTGCCCCTCGGTGGCACACCATAATGTGATTGGGCCTTGTGAAGGGATGGGATGCGAATTCGATGATTTCGTTCCCTGAATCGAGAATTCTAGAGGAATTTTATTGCAAAAAGGAAACACATTTTGAAGGCTGAGAAAACCTAATACTTTTCTAGTTTTTGGTTTACTTTTTAGCCTTTTAGCTTAGTTTTTAGCTTTTTCGCTTACTGTTTGAACTTTTTAGCTTGGTTTTTTAGCTTTTAGCTTGGTTTTTTAGCTTTTAGCTTACTTTTCTAGTTTTTGGTTTACTTTTTAGCTTACTGTTTTAGCTTTTAGCTTAGTTTTCTAGCTTTTAGCTTACTGTTTTAGCTTTTTAGCTTACTGTTTTAGCTTTTAGCTGAGTACTTTCTAGCTGAGTATCAGCTTTTTTTTTGGTTTGAAATCTAGGCACTTGTTTATTTCATTGCTTGTTTTTTTCATTTCCAATACTTTCATACAGATTTACATGTGAATGAAAGAAAAGGAATGGAAATTGCAAATTGTAGAATGCAAATTGGAGAACGCAAATTGTAGAACGCCAATTGTAGAACGCCAATTGTAGAACGCCAATTGTAGAACGCAAATTGGAGAACGCCAATTGGAGAACGCAAATTGTAGAACGTCAATTGTAGAACGCAAATTGTAGAATGCCAATTGTAGAATGCCAATTGTAGAATGCAAATTGTAGAATGCAAATTGTAGAATGCAAATTGTAGAACGCAAATTGGAGAACGCAAATTGTAGAACGCCAATTGGAGAACGCAAATTGTAGAACGCCAATTCGAGAACGCAAATTGTAGAATGCAAATTGCAAATTGTAGAACGCCAATTGGAGAACGCCAATTGTCGAACCCAAATTGTAGAACCCAAATTGTAGAACGCCAATTGTAGAACGCCAATTGTAGAATGCAAATTGTCGAACGCAAATTGTAGAATACAAATTGCGCAATGTCAGATCAAAAAGCACCAAAGTAAATCCGGATTTGTAAATCCAAGCCCAGCTTTCAAAAATTAGATTTTCCTGACCATTTTGCATATATTTTTTTTAGGAAAGATCAATTAGAATGAACCCTTTTCTAGGTAAAACTGAAAAAAAGAGCTCTGAGCGTCTCAAGTTCAGCAATTAGCACATGGATCTATTTACAAAGAACTCTTAACAGATTCACGACGATACGGCCCACCCGATCGGACTAATGAAGAATATTTTTGGTGTCAGTTCTTACGGATTTTATTCTTTATTTTACAGAAAGTCCTCGGTAACTTTGTGCTAGTTTTCAAGAGGAGATTCAAGGCTATCGAATGCTTATAATAGTTTAGTTCATCTTTGAATTCTCACCAAAATATCAGTGAAACAGTAACGACTACGAGACTGTACACTCAAAATACCGAATGTGTAAAGGGTTACTTTAAAAACTAACTAGGGATGTTTTTGAGCTTAAAAATAGTTTTTCTGGTGCAGTTTTTTGCGCTGATTCTGAATATCTAGATCATTTGTGGGTAAAGTGTTGAAATTCGCAAGATATTCAGTTCCAAAGTTTCCACAGAATACCATAATTTAGTGAGGGTTTCTACATCACTAAAAACAACAAAATTGTCTGCAAGCGGCTTCGAACTCGTGAGGTAAAGAGCTGAAGGCAATCACACTAACCAGTAGGCCACGAGTTCACAAGCAATTTGAGTTTCAAAGGATTTCAAAAGCCTAAGTCTAAGCCTAAGTCTAAGCCTATCCAAAAGCCATGCTCAAAAATTCTGTGGAAAGTTTGGAGCTGAATATCTTTCGAATTTCAACACGTCATCCGAAATGATCTAGATATTCGGATTCAGCGCAAAAAACTGTACAAGAAAAACTATGTCTAGGCTAGGCTCAAAAGCCAGGTGTAAATTGAAAAGCATTTCTAAGAAGGAGCCTAAAAAAAACTAGATTTGTTCATTTACTTAACAAATTTATCATTATTTGACTTTTTGTTTGCAAATTCTCCATTCTTAAACTTTCAATTTAGACAACAAATCTATAAAAATGCAAAAACAAAGTTAATTGACTAATTCCGAATTAAAATTACCTTGAAATTAAGCGCGATCGACGGAGAGCCGTGCACGGAGATCGCGTCGACACTCGAAATCGATGCACTCAACAGCGACAAGAGACAAAAAGTGATTGACTGAATGGTGGCCATGAAAGAAATCATGTGTGTGCTGGTGGAAGGGGAGAAAACTCGGTCACATTCGAAAAAGGCGGGTGAATGGGAGATGAGGGGGGAGCTGAGAGGGGAGCTGAGGAAGGGGCTGCCTTTTGCTCCCCTCCACCCCTCCACCCCTGCACCTACTCTGCCCAAAGAGGCCTAGGCACTTGCCCACTCTTGCCCCACCTCCCGTGTTCCCTTTCTTCTCGTCTTCTTCGGCAAAAGCAGCTGTCACAAATCGATGTGCATGTGCCTGCTCCTCTCTCTTTCTTGAGGCCCTTTCTTGAGCCTTTTCATGCCCTGTGGCTCTTTGAAGCATCTCTTTCCGCCAAACACACAAACAATCACCTGGCATTTGTGTGATAAACATAAAACCAAGAGAGAACGGCTATGACACTTATAAGCAGCTAGAAACGCCCGAGCGCTACTGTCGCGGCAACGGAAACCGTTGGTGTCTACGCCTTGCGGAGAATACTCGCCAACTCTAATAGTTGGCGAGTATTCAACTCGAGTTGATACTCTCATAGGCCTGGCCTTGTTCGTCGTCGACGACAGGGAAGACTTAATGACCGTCCGACTAGCGATGGTTGTTGATTTTTGGCATTCTACAGTTTCCACCGATTTTCTGGAGTCACGGATTGCAATGGGGAAACACAATGGGAAAACAAATGAGATTGTAAATGTTCAAATAGGAGATTTATGAGACGTTTTGGGAAATCGTCGATGGTGGCCGAAAGATACGAATTGGCCATCTTCTTCCCTTGTTTATTGTATTCTAAAAATAAATATTTGCTTAAAACTGTAAAATTGCGATAAGGATAGAAAAAAAAAGAAGTAAAACTTTTGGAAATAATAAAAGTGTTCAAAAAAAGTGTTTAAAAAAGCGCGCTTTTTAGAAAATGGCTTTGCTGAGAAGCACCTTTTCGAAAAGATGATTTGAACGATTTGATTTGAGTTACGATTTGTTTTGAGTTACGATTTGGGGGTAGGCTAGTTTCCGCAACTTTTTTTGCACAACAGGGTTATTTGCGCAACAGGGTCGTTTGCGCAACTGACCATAACTTTCTTCTAAGTGGTCTAATCTTTATGATTTTGGTTTCATTTTGTTGCACTTGTTGAGATCTACAAAATGAAACCAAAACTATAAAGATTAGCTCACTTAGAAAAAAAGTTATGGTCAGTTGCGCAGCGACCCAGTTGCGCAAATGACCCTGTTGCGCAAAAGTTGCGAAACTACCTCACGATTTGATTTGAGTTATAATTTGATTTGAACGATTTGTTTTGAGTTGTGATTTTTTTTGAACGATTTGTTTTGAGTTACGATTTGGGGGTAGTCTAGTTTCCGAAACTTTTTTTGCGCAACTCGCCATAACTTTCTTCTAAGTGGTCTAATCTTTATGATTTTGGTTTCATTTTGTTGCACTTATTGAGATCTACAAAATGAAACCAAAATCATAAAGACTGGCCGACTTAGAAGAAAGTTATGGCGAGTTGCGCAAACAACCCAGTTGCGCAAAAAAATTTCGGAAACTAACCTACCCCAAAACAAATGATAAAGAATGCAATTTTTCTCAAGGAAATGCCTTATATATTCTTAAAGGCTCAAAAGGGTATTCGGCTTACTACGTTATGGCGTTATGGCGTTACTACAAAATGAAACCAAAATCCAAAATCAAAAACCAAAACTTCACAATCGTTCGGCCAATCTTTATGATTTTGGTGTCATTTTGTTGCACTTATTGAGATCTACAAAATGAAACCAAAATCATAAAGATTGGTCCACTTAGAAAAAAGTTATGGCGAGTTGCGCAACGACCCAGTTGCGCAAATAACCCCTGTTGCGCAAAAAAAGTTCCGGAAACTAGGCTACCCCAGGATTTGTTTTGAGTTACGATTTGATTTGAACAATTTGTTTTGAGTTACGATTTGATGTGAGCTACGATTTGTTTTGGTACACACTCTAGTGACTTCTCCATGTCCATTAGTCAACTAAGCGATGGGGAACTTGGCAAAAAGAACGACCCTAACACGTTGTTCATCTTTTTCTCCTTTAGTTGACTCCTTTGGTTATCTTTTTTCTTTGTTTGTTGTATTTGTTTGTTGAATTTGTTTGTTGAATTTGTTTAAAACTCTAAAATTTCCTTAAAAATAGAAGAAATGGAAGTAAAACTTTCAAAAATAATAAAAGAAAATTGCAAAAAGAGGGTTTAGAAAAGCGCGCTTTTTGTCAATCTTTGCTTTTGTTAAAACCTAAAATTTTTGATTATCAATGGCATAACTATCATTTTTTTCTTAGCAACATAAAAAACTAGATGACTAGCATGATTTTAGCTCAAAGGGAACCAGGATTTGCCCCACATCTAACACATCTAACATCTAACACTCATCTAACACTCATCTAACACTCATCTAACACTCATCTAACACTATCTAACACTCATCTAACACTCATCTAACACTCATCTAACACTCATCTAACACTCATCTAACAATAAATTCACTTCTTAAGCCAGTTTCTTAAACACTTATCGCAGTTTAATCAATATCACTCACTACAATTATCCAACTTTCTTCAAAACTGCTTAACAGTTTGCAAAAAAGTACGGATCGTACTAAATCGTACAGAATCGTACTAAATCGTACAGAAAGTACGGATCGTACTAAAAAAAGTACGGATCGTACTAAACAAAGTACGGATCGTACTAAACAAAGTACGGATCGCCTTCTAAAACTGCATTTCTTGCTGTCTAATACTGCATTTCTTGTAAGTTTACAAGCAATCATATAAACTAATCGGCATCATGATCATGACTACCATACTTTCATCGAACATCTAAACACATGAAAGAGTTGTTTTTCAAGTTCCAAATACCCTCTGTAATCTCGGGGGAATCCCCTCGAGAGTGTCAAGGTTTCCCCCATCCTTTTCCCCCCGTTTCTTTTCCTCTTTTTCCTCCTCTTTTCCCAAATCGACAACTTGTCCATAAAATGCGCCTTTGCCGCCAAACTTCCCCTTGAGTCTTTAATGAAAAACAGATATCTAACCGACTGAAGTGGGATTTTTGAAAGCTTCAAAAGTTAAGTAAGTCAGGGTACGAATTGAATTGTTGAATTGAATTGAATTGAATTGAATTGAATTGAATTGAATTGAATTGAATTGAATGGAACTGGATGGAACTAGATGTCATAGAGCTGGTCGAGGAAAACGGCATTCTGTAGTGATTCAGTCGAACATCAAAAAAGTGCCAGAGAGGTTGTGTCGTAACCCGGAACCTCTTCGAAACCGGAATCGGAGTTTGGCTCATGGCAAGCTAAATGGGAATTTCTGAGCCTAGAAGCTGTTATCGAACATCATCGAACACCAAATCGAACCACATCGAACAGTTATCTCGTTAAAGAAAGCGCTCCCTTAAAGCATGGGACGAGCTTGACGAGCTTTTCGAGTCTACTTGCGTGCCACAGTTGAAGTCTTGAAGCGTCGTCTTGAAGCGGGCAAAACCTAACGACAGGCACAAACCCAAAAAAGGCGCAATATAGGCAATTGCGACGCGGGCGGGCATGTGTGCTGCAAGCTTTCACGGGCGTCGTCTACGGCGCCGCTGTACGTACGGAGCCGAAGCCTAGGTAAATAGCAGGCCACAAGGAAAGCCTTTGAGTTTTAGTGAAATAAAGTGTTGTTATAGAATCAAAATTGCAGAAAAGAAAAACAAGCATATAAAACAAATTTACTGAGTCTAAATAAGGTGCAGAGTGAAAAAATTCCTCCCGCCCCGATATCCGCCCGTTATAGGGAAAGCACTTTGCCGTGTTCCCAGATTGCAATCCTATCAAACACTTGTCTGCCGAAATGCAACGAAAATAAAAGGGAATGTGTTGTTCAAAACGTTGTTCAAAACGAGTCAAGGCCTTTCGACCAAGGTACAAGAAATTTGGAAAGCGATTCCAACAAGGAAACTCGAGAAACTGGTTGCAAGGATTTCAACAAGGAAACTGGTTGCCATCTACATGAAATTATTCGAGTTAAAGGCACGAGCACGATACTGAAATAGTTCTTTTTGTTTTTAAGAAAAGACCCTTGAGCCTTGAACTACGACCCCGGGCCGCAAGCCACTCGGCCACTCGGCTACTGAGCCCGTATGCTACACTCCGGGAAAAGTTCTGGTGGCGTCTCTGATCTTTACGTCTTCACCTTTGCTCTTTACGGTAAAACGTCTACAGTTTCCTCGACTTTTCCTCGGAAAATTCCTCTGGAAGTTCCTCTGGAAGTTCCTCTGGAAGTTCCTCGGAAAATTCCTTTGGAAGTTCCTCTGGAAGTTCCTCTGGAAGTTCCTCTGGAAGCTCCTCTGGAAGTTCCTCTGGAAGTTCGGAAAGTTTTACCGGAAACTTTCTGGAAGAAAATTACATTCCGCCGGAAAACTATAGACGTTTTACCTGAAAGATCACGCTTTTTTTAGCCCACTGTGGGCCTCTGGAAGTTTCCTTTTCCTGTGGGCTAAAAAAAAAGGCTGTAAATCGTCTTTTCGAATGAAATTTTTATCAAAGAGAATTCTTTTCGATTCACCGGAATTCAAAAATAGCAAAAAGCAAAATGAACAACTGAGAATGCATTAAAAGCAAGAAAAAAAAAAGCAAGCAAGCAAAGCCGCTACAGAATATACAGCAAAAAATGAATGTGTATTTGTTTTTTGGCAATTCGGTGGAATGATGAGGGTCAAAGAATCACAAAATACAGTTCGATTTCGGAAAAAGAAAAAGGAATCCGGCACGGATCCCGCACGAAGAAAAAGCACGAAAAAACTGATGCAAAAAGGCAAAAAGCTGACACCAAAAATGGGGTTAGATTTAGGGAAAAATGCTAAACGAAAAAAAAAAAGCAGAGAAAAATATCACAGTATGAATGGTGAATGGGTGGAACTGGACATGGGCTGATTGATCCGATTCGGGATTGGAAGAGATCTGGTGCTCGTTCTAAGCGGGTAAACTGTTTAGGCAACTGTTTAGGCAAC